AAATGTGTCTCAGTTATTGTCCAGATTAATTGACCGTGCACTACAAATGCAGATTAGGTTGAAAAATGTTGGCTAGTTCCTTTAAAAGACCCACCCATTGAAAGGTACACTATAAGGCCAAAAGTGTGTGGACACTTCTTCTAATTATTGTTTTAGCCACACCCATTGCTTACGGGTATATAAAGTCGAACCTTAGCCATGCAATCTCCATAGACAAACACTGGCAGTAGAGGGTCGTCCTGAAGAACACAGTAACTCTAAACGTAGCACTGTCATAGGATGACACCTTTACTACAAGTAAGTTTGTGTAATTTCTGCTCTGCTAGATCTGCCCCTGTCAACTGTAAGTGCTATTATTGTGAAATAAATGCGTCTGGAAGCAACAACAGCTCAGCCACGAAGCGGTAATGCAAACTTACAGAGCTGGGCCACTGAATACTGAAGTACATAGCGCATCGTATATCTTATCTTTTTTATTGCATCACTCACTCGAGTTCCAAACTGTCTCTGGAAGCAACAACAGCACAAGAACTGTGCATCTGGAGCTTCATGAAATGAGTTTCCATGGCTGAGCAGCTGCACACAAGCCTAAGAACACTATGTGCATTGCCAAGCGTCAGCTGGACTGGTGTAAAGTGCCGCCACTGGACTCTGGAGCAGTGGAAACGTGTTCTCTGGAGTGATGAATCAGACTTCACTATCTGGCAGTCTGATGGACGAGTTTTGGTTTGGCGGATGCCAGGAAATCGCTACCTACCGGAATGCATAGCGCCAACAGTAAAGTTTGGTGGAGGAGGGATAATGAGCTGGGTCTGTTTTTCAGACCCCTCAGGTCCAGTGAAAATTCTACAGCACACAAAGTCATTTTACACAATTATATGCTTCCAACTTTGCGTCAGCAGTTTGGGGAAGAGCCTTTCCTGTTCCAATATGACTGAGCTCCTGTGTACAAAGTGAGCTCCATAAAGACATGGTTTGGAGGAACTCCAGTGGTCTGCACAGAGTCCTGACCTCCTGAACACGTTTGGGATGAACTGGAAAGTCGATTGTGAGCCACATTTCTCATCCAACATCTCACAAATGCTTCTTTGATTGAATGGCCACAAATTTCCCCAGACACTCTCCAACAAATCCATAAAAGAGGACCAAATCTATATTTATGCAGATGGTTTTGGAATGGGACGTCCAACAAAGCCTAAAAGTGTCCACATACTTTCGGCCATATAGTGTAGAAATTCAAAGGACCCTTTTTTGGGACCTGTATTGTTTAGAACGCAGAATACATTGTCATTTCATTACTGCAAACGATTCACATCTGAAATCTCAATACATGTAAATGTGCAACGAATATGACATATAATAAATAAAATGTATTATATAATAATTAATTATTGGGCTCAAATGTTTTCAGTCTTGTAAGCAGTACATTTTCAAAAAAGGGTCCCAAAATGGTTCTGTGGAGTGACGCCTTCTGGTTACCTAAACGATCTTTCTTTAATATTTCAGTATCATATTCAAAGGACTTTATTACTGAGTCGTAATTGTATGTGGGTTCTCTGACGCTGGATTCTGACTCTGTCTGTGGCGTTTACTCGTGTAGTTTATCATCTCTCACTCTCAGTGTTCTACCTGTACCAGGGTTGTCCCACGAAGCGCGCCAGCAGAAAGCCCAGGCCGAAGCCTATGCTGGGGTAGATGGCTCCAATGATCCACAGAGAGGGGGCGATTGTCCAAGAGGACTGATACAGCACGCCACCCACCACAGCGATGATGATGATCAGGATGAAGCCCAAGACAGAGCCCACCTACAAAACATTAAAACATTTTAACCATGTCAGTAGACAGGGGGGGTGTTACGAAACGCGCACTGCATGATACTATATGTCCTGTGGTTTTTGCACAACGATACAAAACATTTCTAATAAAAATGGCAAAATGACATTTTTGGTCATAACAAAGCAAAAGTAGTACAAAGTAATTTTCTTTGAATCGGATGGTGGTGATAGGAACCAGACATCCACCTCTAAAAGCTCCCTCACAGAAAAGTTACTACATGAAACGGTTATGAATTCACTGCCTGATGTCTGAGACACTGTTTTATGATAGTTTTGAGGAGCTTTTGGTGTAAAATTTTTATGGTGGAGGGATACAGGCAGGGCGTTGTGAAGCAAAATAGTTCCCAAATAGAACATATTATAATGTAGCTTTTGGATGGTAAATAAAAGGTCTGTATTTGTGTTGTAGTCATAGCGACCCCTGGTTCCCATCACCACCACTGTAAAGAAATCTAAATGTAAAGAGTATCTACATTGAACCATTTCGCTCCAAACAGCTCTGAATGACTTCGTCAGTGACAGAATTACACAGATTTTTTAATTTCTCTCAGTCTGTCTGATATTATGAATATTCAATTTCCAAAAAAAAAAACCTCACCTTCAGGATCTTTTTTGCGTACTTGGGCCACCGATGTTTGACGTACATTCCCACAGCAACAGGCACGAGCAGACCCACCAGCGTGGTGCCTGCGCATAGCAACATCCAGCATAAGACGGCTGTTTTTATTGTTCTACAGCATTTCAGAGCAGCATAACAAAATGAATGCACCAGTCGCTCAGGTAGAATTTTGCTATAGTATTTAATAACGTGTGGAGCTGATAAAATGGACAATGAGTGTAGAAACAAGGAGGTGGTCATAATGTTAGGCCTGATCAGTGTATGTAACAATAACAATCAATTTTTATATGATCTAACTTCTCTTTATCTCTACACACTTAAAAAAGATGGTTCTTCAAGGGTTCTTTAGTAAAGAAAATGGTTCTATATAGAGCCATGAACACTCAAAGACCCATTAGCATTTTCAGATTGATGGAGAATTTGCTGCAGATGGCAGATGGTAGACAGAACCTATTTGAAAAGGGTTCTATATAACACCAAAAAGAGTTCTTCTTTTGTTATGATGGCAGGCCTGTTACAATAGAGGAATCCTTTTTGGTGCTATATAGAACCCTTTTCAAAAAGGTTCTATATAGAACCGTCTATAGCACATTCTCCATCAGTCTGAAGAAAACTCTCATGATGCAAAGAACCCTTCAATCATGTAAAGAGTTCTTTGATTGTTCATGGTTCTATATGGAACCATTTTCTTTACTAAAGAACCCTTGAGGAACCATCATTTTTAAGGGTGTAAGATAAGAGTGGTATATGTAAATGAGCTCTGTTCTGATTGGCTCATTTAGAAAGCAGTCCAGGTTGAAACACCCTTTATGACTTCAGCAGGAATGGGCGGGGCTAAACTGCCATAAGCTGAATAGGCAAATATACGCAAACTTGACATCACAGAAACACATCAAACTCTTATGTCACAATGAGGAGAGGTCAGTTTTCAATGAGACAGGCCCTTTAAAAAGTCCCAGTGTTTAGGTTTAGGTTTAATCTGGTTCTATGAAGTTAACTCAGTCTGCTGTATCAGTGATCTCAGTCTCACCTATGCTGTCGTAGGGGATCTGAATGGTGTCCGCTGAAGTCCACACGGAGGTGTAGATGAGCAGGCAGAGCGGCATCATTCCCAGCGCCAGGATGGACGAACACGTGGTCATGCTAATACTGTAGGCAGGAATGAAACAGGGCTGTTTAAAACACTCATATACTTCATTTTGTGAAATTAACACATCTTGTACAGGGAACGCACTTAAATATGGCATTTCCTGCCAATTTTAATGCCCAATTTCTGTTTATGTTGTGGAAAAAAATAGCATAAAATATAAAATGTGCCATAAATTTTGCACAGTCCTCATTGTGTGTTTTATTTTTCCTTCCAATACATTAAATTTAGCAAATAACCAGCAACCGTGCTTCAAAATGCACTGAAGTGTGTTCCCTGTAGTGGAACATGTTCACTTATTTTCAGAAAATCAGCATGTTGTTTGACCGGGGGTGCCAAAACTTTTGCACACAACTGCATATCAGCATTTTCAGCCTGCAGCCTACAGTTTAGCCCCGCCCGTTCACGCTGAAGTTATGAGTGAGCCTGGACTGCTTTGCGAATGAGGTATAATACAAGGCAGCCAATCAGAACTGAGCTCATTTACATATATGTGTCTTAAAGGCTTCAGTAAGAAAAACAGCCTGTTTGATTTCAACGTGTAGAGAGAGATCAGAAAAGCTAAAAAATGAATTAAAATATAGGAAGAAAATTATTACAAAACTATCAGGAACCCATAAAAACACTTAATGGCTTCTATGGGTTTTTTTAGAAAGGCACAGAACAGTGGTTCTCCTAAAGGCCCTATAGACGGTCTTTATTATTTCTCAAACAAAAAAGCTGGGGGTTGGACTTGAGTAAAAATGTGGACGCGTCCGTGACCTCTGGTTTGGGAACCACTGCCATAGAAGAAGCGTCTTTGATGGTCTGTGGAAGGTTCTTCGAAAGTGGTCTATGTGTCAAACACAAGGCCCGCAGGCCAGGTCAGGCCCGTGACACAATCCTATTCGGCCCACAAAATTATTTTAATTTTAGCCCATTTCACCATGAGCTGCACTACAGTTCCCAGCATGCACTGCAATGTAATATGTGCTCCCACCCCCTCCCCAACAACAAGCTATGGGACCGCACCACAAAAACAAAAAGAAAAAAGATGCCAGGTGTCCAGTTCAAGTGAACGGTCAGTTTTTAAAAGCCTACTGTACACTGGGGACATTTAAAGAGGTTTAACAGTGGTCTGCAGTTAATGTAGTCAACTGATTTATATTAAACAATTTGTTAATTTTGAATCTGTAAGTATTTAGAGGCTATTCTTTGCTGTTGCAATTTTGGCATGTTTAGAACAAACAATGGCCAGTTGGGGTCAAAATGTTAAGTAAAAACAAAACAACACAAGCTGTGGCGCCATGGCTTAGTTGGTCAAAGCGCCTCTCTAGTAAACGGGAGGACTTGGATTCGAATCCCAGCAGTGCCTGGCATTATAGTAAATGTTTTGGGGGCAGTCGTGGGCTGGAAGGTCTGGAAGGTCACCGGTTTGATCCCCTGAGCCCACAGTACGTGACTGAAGTGCCCTTGAGCAAGACACCTAACCCCAAACCGCTCCCAGGTGCTGTGGATAGGGCTGCCCACCGCTCTGGGCAAGTGTGTTCACCAGTGTGTATGTGGTGTTTCACTGCACGGATGGGTCAAAATGTGGAGGTGAAACCTCCCCATTGTGGGACTAATAAGGGTCACTTAACTTCATTAACTTAATAAAAACACATCTGGCCCACAGATTTGCTGAGATTTTTTAATGTGGCCCTTTTAGTGGTTGAGTTTGACGCCCCTGCTCTGAGGCGTCGCTCCAACCCCTTGTGGCCCCTTTGAATATTTCATTTGTATTGCTTCAGACTGTGCCAGAGCATAAAATAATAAATGTTAATAAATTTGTTATTTATTCAGCAAAAAGAAAGGTTCAAGCTCATTTGCATAAAGCTACCTGCCTGTATAGCCTATAGATAAATGGAGCTTGGACATTTCTGCGTAATGAGATGTAAAGTCATTCAGAGTGGTTTGATGTGAAATGGTTAAACCCTTAAAATCCCAGGCTTATTACATACTAAGGCTTATTATTCAGTAACTACAGGGACTTCAATGCGAACAGGCTAACAGAGTTATTATCAGGTTATAGAAGTGTGTAATAAAACTTTGGACCTGCCATTGGATCCTGGCCATTTAAGGGGTTAATCATAGAGAAACTTTGCAACTCTGATGTCTTTACAGTGGTGGTGATAGGAACCAGGGGTCGCCATGACTACAACACAAATATAGACATTTTATTTACTATCTAAAACCAACAGTGAACCTACACGAGTCTTCAGCGTTATTATCTATAATGTTGATGATGGTAAATCTGAAAAAAATACATTTTCTTTGCCTCTTTTAAAAATGTTTTTAGGCCAAAAAACGTATCTTAAAACTTATATCTCAGGCATCGCAACACACTTGTAACCATTTCACGTAATAAACTTTCTGTGATGGAGCTTTTAGAGCCATTAAACAGCTACAGACGCCTGGTTCCTATCACCACCACTGTGAATACACTCTTAGCAAAAAGGGTTCTATATAGTACCAAAAAAGGGTTCGTTGGCTTGTTACAACAGTGGAACCCTTTTTGGTACTATGTAGAATCCTTTTCAAAAAGTGTTCTATTATAGTACCAAAAAAGAGTTCTTTGGCTTGTAACAGTAGTGGAACCCTTTTCAACAAGCTTTCTATTTAGAACCATCTACAACACATTCTCCATCAATCTGAAGAACCATTTCACCATGCAAAGAACGCTAATCATGCAAAGGGTTCTTTGAGTGCTCATGGTCCTACACAGAACCATTTTCCTTACTAGAGAACCCTTGAAGAACCATCTTGAACATCGCTTTTCACCACCCTGAACAACATTTTTACATCTCAACCATGCAATCGTGCAAAAACTGTGAAAAATCAGTGAAATTCCCCTTCAACCCAATCACCTGAGGTCCATATCTCCGTCCAGCCAGTAGGCGATGATGTTGGAGTTGGAGCCTCCGGGGCAGCAGCCCATGATCATGATGACAATGGCTTGGACGGGCAGCACCTGGAAGGCCAGCGAGAGGACGAAGGCGGTGAAGGGCATGATCCCGAACTGGCACAGGAAGCCGATGAAGATGCCCCAGGGCCGGCGGATGTGCGCCCACAGTTTGTGAGCTTCCACCGTGCAGCCCATGGCGAACATGACCAGGGCCAGCAGGACGGTCAGGACGGTGCTCATGATCACGCTCAGGACGGCGTTGAAGTTGCTTTCTGGGACCAGGCATGATGTGCCAGAGCAAATGGTGGCGTTGATGTGGCAGACCAGCTCTGAGGTTGCCATGATGGAAAGGTGTGAAGAGGTAAAAGGTAGGGTCTCGGTTAAAAGTGGTACATCCAGAATTACAGGGTGAACTGGAGAGAAGATCCTGATGTGCCCAGCTCCTTCTTCCCGGGTGACGAGACGTGCACAGAGGCTCCTCACGGCTTCGGCGTCCTTTAATACCTGCAGAGAGCAAATAAAAACTGGCGAAACGATGAAAAATTAACCCGCGCCAAATGTTTTTATGGGGTCAGTGTCCAAACGCGCACACATATAAAACAGCAAAAATGTCACTGTTTCAGCTTTGGGTATAATAAATGTGATTGCACCTTGTTTTTTTATAGCACTATGGCATGTCAGGTTTATTGTGCTTCTCCAGGGACAGCAGTGCTGCACCACCACCATCACGACCATCATCATCATCACCATTATCAGGACTGAAAGGGAAGGATGCCTACCTGCTGTGAGGCTCTGTTTGCGTCAGAATGAATAAAGATAGAAAAGCTGTAAAGCCCATATAAGAAGCCCTATTGCAGGTATGAGTACAGTTCACGGCTCCCACTCTTTAACTAACACATGGGCTCAAAGTTAAAGTTTAAAAACCCAAACTCAGTGCAGGTGGAGCTGAATACGAAAGGCGCAAAGTTCAGGGGGTGAAATTCCTGTTAAAATGAACAAAAGCCCCACAGTCCTTAAACAAGCGGACACAGATGTTAAAGCACAGCCATAAAGGCATATTTCATTCTATTCTTATGTCTCACGTTGCTCTCACCCTTGCCATAGTTCTCTGTTTCGTCACATGCCTTTCTCGCCGATTTCAAAAGGGAATTCCATTCTTTTTCAAAACAACTGACACATTTCTTCACGGTGGTGCTGATAGGAACCTGGAACCTACAAGTTACCTGAGTGTTCTTATGTAATGCTGATAACATTAAAACAAAGACAAACCTGAAACAGTTTAGTTCTTTAGTGACCACGCTTCCCTAAAATATACTGAAATGAATAAAACATAAAAGATGAAGTGTGTGATTACTTTTGCACAGGCCACATTTGATGTTTTTCCTCCCGATGTGTTCAATTAAGCACATAAACAGTAGTTGTGCATTAAAATGAGCAGAGGTGTGTTCTCTGTAGAGGATGTGTTCACTTTATGTGTTCAACATAAAATGTCATTTGACCAGAGGTGCCCAAACCTTTGCATACAACTGCATTTAAGAAGTACATTTCAGGCCAAAACTCCATAAAGACCTTTTTTCAAAACTGTCGTAAACATATTCTGTAGATACGGCGCATTTAATGTCAAACTTAATTAAGCAGGAATTTTGCTAATTTGGTGGAATCTCCCTTATATTTAATACAGTTAAATATAAATTACATTAGTCTGAGTGGAATTAAATGCTGGTCTCAGGTCAGTCTTATTGGCCTTCTCTGATGCTCGTTGTCCCAGTTAGGGATGGAGGGAGTGTCCAGAGCTCAAGTGGTCTGTTTATTCAGACAGAATAAAGGCGTTGCAACACAAGAGTTACTTTATAGTCTGTTTTTGAATTTAAGCTCTGAGGTTAACAACCTTTAACAAGAAAGAGTGCTGGAGGGCTTGGCCCAGATTTTGTGGTATATATATATATATATATATATATATATATATATATATATAACTAATGCACCAATCACTCTGAACAGTCCATATATGGACAGAAATCTGTTTTAAATTCATTGTTTTCATGATGTCACAAAAGCCAACACAATTACATGCCTGTTCAATCTATAGCAGGTAAGCTCCGCCCATTCATATTGACGTTACTGTTGTGTGTTAACCCAGGTTTCTTTCAGAACGAGCCACAGTGTCGTAGTACGCTACCTTTGCCACAATCTGTATATTATATTTACACTATATTTTTGCTCTGCTAGATCTGCCCCAGTCAACTGTGAGTGCAGCCATTGTGAAATGGACAGATCTAGAAGCAGCCGCTAAGCAGCAGACCATGCAAACTCCTCTCACTACAGAGCTCAAGTCTGCTACTGGAAGCAAAGTCAGCACGAGAGCTGTGCATCAAGAGCTTCAGGAAATGGCCAAGCAGCTGCACACAAGCCTTAGCTGGGTTCTCTAGAGTGATCAATCATACTTTACTATCTGGCAGTCTAATGGATGAATCAGGGTTTGGCGGATGACTGGAGAACGCTACCTACCAGAATGCATAGTGCCAGTAAAGTTTGGTGGAGGAGGGATAATGAGCTGGGGCTGTTTTTCAGGGTTTGGGGAAGACCAACATGACTGAGCCCCTGCGCTCAAAGCTAGTTTCATAAAGACATGGTTTGGTGAGTTTAGTGTGGAGGAACTCCAGTGGCCTGAACAGAGCCCTGACCTCAGCTCCACTGGGATGAACTGGAACGTCGATTGTGAGCCAGGCCCTCTCGTCCAACATTAGGGTCTGAGCTCACAAATGCTCTTCTGACCGAATGGGCACAAATTCCCGCAGACACTCTCTGAAATCTTGTAGAAAGCTTCCCAGAAGAGTGGAAGCTGTTACAGCCACAAAAGGTCCAGCACCATATTAAAGCCCATGATTTTAGAATGTGATGTCCAACAAGCATCAGTGTGATGGTCAGGTGTCCACATACTTTTGGCCATATAGTGTACTTACCTCCCTCAGACTTCGCTAACAAGATAAATCACAGCGAAAACCCATTCTAATGAACTTCATATGTTTTATTAAACTCTGTCAACGTGGGAGAAAAACGTTTAGAGGTAAAAAAAAAGAGTGTTCGGGTTATCTTCCCTGCTAATTCACATCTCTGAACAGAGGAGCACTCCTTACCCCCTTTTCACTTCAGCTTTGTTGTCCATCTACAAACCAGAACAAGCGAATTAATGCCACTATTAAAACAGGGACAATAATGATTGTTTTTCCTTCACTCTTTCTTTCAAACTCTGTGCCAGTGACGTTCTTATTAACTGTTTCAGGTAAATATTACAGATTAAGATTTACAACGGCCAACATCAAAGACTAAAGCTACATAAAGTCTCAAAAAAGTCTAAAAAAGTCTCGGTTCATATTGTTTTCATGGTTACTTCCTTCAAACTGTAATCCCTTGCTGTATTCATGTGAATAAAGAGGCCAAACAGATTGAACTCAATAAAACCTTTTTAATTCGTAGTTTATTTTGCCCACATCACCATTTACCTTTTACTCATAGGCAGAAACATGTCGCTGCTGTCGGAACAAAACCTCATATCTCAATTTTTATCGTTTTTCAGTTTTTGACATAATTTGAAAACGCTGCCCAAAATGTCCTGGAAAAAATTCTGGTTCCACTGACTTACATTAGAAGTAAAGTATGTTTTTTCCTCCCCCTGTAAAGTTACCATAGTGGAGATGCGAGGTTTTGTTCTATATATTAGCCTTAAGAACGTGAATACACCACAACAAGATTACTGCAATTAATTTACAATGTCTTCAAAAGAAACTCTTTACAATGCAGTGCTGCACTTCCAGCACATTTCACTTCAAACCCAGTTTTATAATGACTGATAAGGAGAACACGTTCCACTCTGCTCTGCGCTTTACTGTGCCTTCTTCGTCATCTATGCTGTTAATTCCAAGAAGAATAAGTTCTGCTGCATTTTACATCATTTTCAGGTCTTTAATGATGACTTGCCAGCCCTCCAACTGGCCAAATAATACAAGACACTCTCTGGATTATATACACAGTGCAGCTGCAGGTTGAATCACAGTGAGGTATCACTTTAATCTCAGAGTTTTATGCGTCAACCTGATTAAAATAAAACGGACAGATGCCAATCTCGGGTATACCTGACCAACAGCCTGCAGGCTTTGCTATCTGCAAGGGCTTTCACGAACATCACAGCTGCTTGACCTCTTGTCAGACAGTCTTCAGTCCTGAAGGCCTGAGCAGCTCCTGTTTCAGAGTCTGTTGGAGGGGCAGTGCATTTTCTGTTTTTATTAGGGTCTCAGGTGGGTTTGGAGCTCAGCTGTAGGTTTCCGGTCACGTGGGCTATGAAGCACCTGAGGAAATGGATGCCCGAGTACTGGACTGAGCTAAAGCACGAGGAGGAAGAGCAAAGGGAAAAACAGAGAGAGAGAGTCAGGATTAAAGAACTCAGCATAAGGTTTGCACTGTAAGTCTATGCTCATGACTGTGTTGTGAGAAAAGTAAGTAGAAACAGTATGTGATTAAGCAGGAACTTTGCTAATTTGGTGGAGTTCCCCTTTAAGCACTTGGGCTTCTATTTAATACAGTTAAATATAAATTACATTAGTCTGAGTGGTATTTAAATGCTGGTCTCAGATCAGTCTTATTGGCCTTCTCTGATGCTCGTTGTCCCAGTTAGGGATGGAGGGAGTGTCCAGAGCTCAAGTGGTCTGTTTATTCAGACAGAATAAAGGCGTTGCAACACAAGAGTTACTTTATAGTCTGTTTTTGAATTTAAGCTCAGGGGTTAACAACCTTTAACAAGAAAGAGTGCTGGAGATTTTGTGGGACCTAGACAGGTTTTTACATCGCCTACATCATGGAAAAAACTTTTTACGTAGAAGACTTAAACAAATATAATATTTATTAGATATTTAGATATAACTTTAGATATATATTAGAAAAACATTAATCTAAAGTTTCCAACTGTACCATTCACTTCCCATTCTAAACAGCCCATGTAGGGAAACTAACGTTTTCTGTTATTACAAGGGTCTCAGGTGGGTTTGGAGCTCAGCTGTAGGTTTCCGGTCACATGGGCTAAGCGTAAGTGTATGCTCATGACTGACGAAAGGCAGCGAGCTTAAAGGGGAACTCCACTGATTTTTCAAAATTCTACAGAATTAAATAGTTAATACGTAAACAAAGTCATTCAGAGTGGTTTGGTGTGAAATGCTACGTTCTGGAGAAACCTGCCAAGTCAGAACTGTTCACAGTGGTAGTGATAGGAACCAGACGTCAGGGACACGGGACGTGGGGGTGAGCACCCCTTGATTTCAGGATTACCGCTATCAAAATAACAGTAATAACAAAACTTTCTGCACTTCATTATAATTTGAGCACAGTAGAGAACTTGTTTGCTTGTTTTAGAGTAGAGTGTATATTTTAAAACCTGCAGACGCTGCTTTGTTTAAGAGAATGGCGTATTTTCATTACAGCGAGCCAAAAACTGGCCACTTTGGGGGCGCGTCTTCAAACACACGCAGGCTGAGGTTCAAAGAGAGAAAGTCTGTGCAGAGTTACAGGCCAGTTCTGAGCCCTAAGGCAGCCCATGTGTAGGTTCACTAGTGGTTTTGGATAGCAAATAAAATGGCTACATTCGTGTTGTAGACATCGTGACCTCGGGTTCCTATCAGCACCACTGTAAAGAAATCAGAGTCTGTTAGTTTCTTTACAGTGAACCATTTTACACCAAACCACTCTGAGTGACTCTGTTTACATCTCAAAGACTGATTTATTCAGAAATTTTGAAAAATTGTTGGAATTCCCCCTTAACTGCCGTATTCAGAGTGGAATGTCAATGCACTGTGATGTAGCGTGTTAAAACAGAAACAGGGTGTCTATTAAAAAAGAAGCTCTACCACTTGCATCTTTTTGTAATAAAGTTGTGGCTGTTGCTTTTTTATTAGCTGGTTGCCGGTGCTGCAATAGAAACTCGTTTGGAGTGCCATTATTGGTCAGAGAGTGCCTCTCAGCCAATCACATCGCAAGGCTGGAACTAACTGTGACACACCGATCAGGCATAACATTATGACCACCTTCTTGTTTCTACACTCATTGTCCATTTTATCAGCTCCACTTACTATATAGGTGCACTTTGTAGTTCTACAGTTACAGACTGTAGTCCATCTGTTTCTCTGCATACTTTGTTAGCCCCCTTTTACCCTGTTCTTCAGTGCTCAGGACCACCATGGACCCTCACAGAGCAGGTACTATTTGGGTGGTGGATCATTCTCAGCACTGCAGTAACACTGATGAGGTGGTGGTGTGTTAGTGTGTGTTGTGCTGGTCTGAGTGGATCAGACACAGCAGTGCTGCTGGAGTTTTTAAACACCTCAGTGTCGCTGCTGGACTGAGAATAGTCCACCAACCAAAAATATCCAGCCAACAGCGTCCTGTGACCACTGATGAAGGACTAGAGGATGACCAACACAAACTGTGCAGCAGCAGATGAGCTATCGTCTCTGACTTTACGTCTACAAGGTGGACTGACAAGGTAGGAGTGTCAAATAGAGTGGACAGTGAGTGGACACTCCAAAAAAACTCCAGCAGCACTGCTGTGTCTGATCCACTCAGACCAGCACAACAACTGCAGTGCTGAGAATGATCCACCACCCAAATAGTACCTGCTCTGTGAGGGTCCATGGAGGTCCTGACCACTGAAGAACAGGGTAAAAGGGGGCTAACAAAGTATGCAGAGAAACAGATGGACTACAGTCTGTAACTGTAGAACTACAAAGTGCACCTATATAGTAAGTGGAGCTGATAAAATGGACAATGAGTGTAGAAACAAGGCTGTGGTCATAATGTTATGCCTGATCGGTGTCTATTCTTTAAACATTTCCTCATTTCTGATAAACTATTGCTGCAAAACAGGCTTCTATTTTCTTCAAGGGTCAAAATGTCAGACTTACCTGAGCATTACAAAATGTATATAATAATTACAGACACTTATCAGCATCACATGACATGAAAAAAAGGACTGTGATAAGATTTCTGGCCATATCGGCCAGCTCTAGTACTGTGTGTGCACTGCTACCGGTAAATGACTCTAAAGTAGCTGGCTGGTATGTGCCTTATCACCTCTTTATCTCACGAAGGCGACTTCCTGTATTCCCTAAAAGACACACCCAAGCCTGGGGTTCCTGGCCATGACCTTTTGTTGTAAGTGCCACCATCTGGCACTAAAACAGGCATGATTCTGTGAGCAGATGCACTATCATCTAATCTTATCTTATCAGTGAGCTCAGTCTATCTGATCACATTTACACTTTCTCAGTTCTTGCACAGGCCGGCACCTCTATCTGATAAAAATCCAGCCTATTGCAGGTTAGAGGTGATGACATGGGGTTAGCCAGCGCCTGCAGCCTGAGAGAACTACATAATTAATGGGCTGTACGTATAAAATAACTGATTTGGTACGGTTTTATGCCCGATTGTGCAAGAGCTGTGCTGCTTAGCAACCTAACTACAACACTAGATGACACCGGTGTCATAAGTGCTACTGCAAGATAACCCTGAAGGTCATTTTTAATGATTCTGCTTGTGTGCACAAGATTGCACATGGAGTTGTATGCAAAAGTTTGGTCACATTACATGTTCTGCTGATTTTCTAAGTGAAAAGAAGTTAACAAATCCACTGTAAGAGAACACGTTTCAATGCACAATCACTGTTTAATTGCTAAACTGAACATAATAGGAATTAATAAAACATAAAATGTGGCCTGAGCAAAGAGTTGTGGCACATTTTATATTGTGTACTTCATTTTTTTTCCAATATGTGTTTTGTAATCTGACCGGGTGTTCAAACCATTGCGTAACGCGTCCAAATGCACATGCATGCTTTCGATTTTCATGCTTTTTGCAGACGATAAAACTTGGAGAGCTGTGTAAATGTTCAAGAGGTACTGTGTGTCTCACCTCACGATGAAGGGCTGGGCGAAGCAGGTGCTTGTCTGATCTTTGATGAAGTCGTGGAGCTGCAGCAGAAGAGCCAGCAGAGCCCCCTGCCGCGTCCGGTCTATTTTAGTCACCACCAGCTGCAATTCCACAGACAAACAGACTTAATTGAAACTGCACACTTCCTATGAGTTCACACTCGAGATACAGCATTGAAAACTAGAAGGAAACGCGGAACGGCTGCGCACCAGTTACTACAATATCCCAGGTGGTTGCTAAGGTGCCGCTAGGCAGTTGCTATGGTATCCCATGCCGTTGCTAAATTACTGCTAGGCCGTTGCCATGGTGTATGGGGTGTGTATTAAGTTTTTCGTAGGGAGTAACCAAGTGTTAGCTACGTGTTGTTACAAAATGAATGGGAGTCTATGTGATGAGCGAGGGATGAAAAAACAATACATAGAGGAGTGTGGGTCAGTGTGACTGTGGATTCGAGCTTGGGGATCTGCTATGAATGAAGACATGCATTTTGTTGGCTGTTAGTCAAAGGAACATATGTGTTGTTTGAGGGTGGAATAGGAGTCTATGAGAGGAATGAGGGATGAAAAAACGACACATAGAGGAGTGCGGGTCAGTATGGCTGTGAATTAGAACTTGGGGACCTGCCCTGAGTGAGTACATGTACTTTGGTGGCTGTTGGGGAAAAAGATAGATTAGGGCTTTGTTGGGGGAGAAAATGAATGGGAGTCTATGAGAGGAAAAGGGATGAAAAAAAAACGACACATAGAGGAGTGCAAGTCAGTGTGGTTGTGGATTAAAGTATGGGGATCTGCCCTGAATGAGTACATGCATTTTGGTAGCTGCTGGGCAAAGGAAATAACAGGGCTTGGGGGAGAGCGAAAATGAATAGGACTCTATTGGAGGAACGACGGATGAAAGAACAACACATAGAGGAGTGTGGGTCAATATGTGCTGTGGATTAGAGCTTGAGAGCCTGCTCTGAGTGAGGACATGTAGTTTGGTGGCTGTTGGGCAAAAAAGTGATGAACAGGACTCTATGGGAGAAACGAGGGATAGAAAAAAAAAAACGACAAAACGGATGAGTGCAGGTCAGAGCAACAGTGAATTTGTGCTTGGGGGCCTGCCCTGAGATAGTGTACAAACATGAATGAGTATTAAAAAGCATTAGAAAGTTATATACATGAGTCAGAGACCACCCCTCCTTCACTTAATTTCCAGTCTAAACTGCTATTAAGTACAAGTTGTTCATTTTCCAGAAGACACTTCAAAGGAGAACTGGCTCCTAACAACCACCTGCAACACCTGATAGACCCCAAAACTGCCCCCATCTGATAAACAGCACTTAAAGCTTTCATCTCTGAGAGAGAGGAGAAAATCAAGCTGCTTCAGATCTGAAAACATCCACAGGTGTTTCTGTCCATCCTTCCACTGTGAGAAGACGACTCAGCGCTGTGGGTCTGAAAGGATGTGTAGCTGATCAAGAAGAACCTCACTGAGAAAAGGAGACGGACACATCAAACAAAGAAGCCGAACAATGGACTGACCACCCCAGAGTCCAGACCTCAACACCACTGAATGTGTTTGATTACTGCAGAAAATGATGAACCAGCTTCTAAGACTGAACTGGAGGTGTGTCTGCAGATTCTTTGAGGAACTGAAAGTGGGTCTCCTGAAAAGAATGGAAGCTGGAATAAATACTGACACATCTGATATTATATTTTTTATCACGTACATCCCTGACATGTTAACACAATAAAAGGAGTACAGTGCTGCACTGTGGTGTGCATGAAGGCGATTTCATGTGAATTAACTGTTAAAAACCTTCTTTACTCAACAGCCGCATTTCAATACGCAGTAAGAACATTAACCTCGACACATCTTAGTCTTCGTCAAGGGAACTCGGCCCATCCTCAGAATTAATGATTGCTTAGCAAATTGTAAGGAAGTGACAAGTTATATTACGGCCCAGTTATAAACAGCGCTCATTAAGAATCAGATTACTTTAACTGCATCACATAAAATACTCTGACATTATAAACCTATTTTACTGTCTTTTCATTTTTATGACTTACAGATCTGTCAGATGGGTCTGAAAGGATGTGTAGCTGTTCAAGAAGAACCTCACTGAGAAAAGGAGACGGACACATCAAACAAAGAAGCCGAACAATGGACTGACCACCCCAGAGTCCAGACCTCAACATCACTGAATGTGTTCATGACTTGGATGGTGAGAAGCAGAAAATACAACCAGCTTCTAAGACTGAAGTTTGGAGGTGTGTCTGCAGATTTCCAATCCCATTGTATTGTATTTTTACCTCTACCCCTTGTTTTCGAGTGTCACGTTGCCACTTAGAACAAGGGGTAGTGGTTGAAATCTTCCCTCTGAAATGGGACCCTCAAATAAAGAAGACCATTACTTTATTAACAGCTATGAAAGTTCAGCTATGAAAGCTATGAAGTTCATGAAACTACATTATGTCATTCAAACTGAGGAGAACTAAGCCAATTCTGAGTAACAGTACAAAGAAAAGTTCAATGGTTTCAGAGTGGCAATGACCAAAAGCTGGGAGAAGTACTTTCAGAGCCAAATCTACAGAAAGACACAGCGTAATTCAGCTGTGCTCTGCTGCCACCTGCTGGTCTTTAACAGTAGTTGCAGAAGAGAGAGACTCACTCACCACATAGGGAATGCCAAACTCTTCACACATCTCCATGGCAACCAAATCCAGTTTCTGCAGTCCTGCTCCACCATCCACTAACAGGAACGTCCTCACAAGGCTGATGAGAAAGACAAAGTCAAATCATAACCTGTTCATCACAGCAGACATTTACAGTCGAGGCCTTTCTCAGCGCTCCTACTTCTGTCGCTCCTGAAGGTAGGGCTCCACCATGTCCACAAAGTCTTTCGGGGCGCGGTGTCCATAGCCAGGCATGTCCACTAGCGTGAAGGCTTTCCCCACCGTGAAGAAGTTCAGCTTTTTTGTGTGTCCCTACATAATTATAAAGACAGAGTGACGACGTTCAGAAGACGAGAAAAAAGATTCATAAACAGAACAAACGGCCATCATAACATCATGACCTACTTAACAGCCCATACAATGAAACACCGAACGTAAACAGTGTAGAACCCCCCTTTATGTCCCAGTCCATATGGAAATTAAGCTGCAAGAACAGCCCATTTAGAATTAATTGTTTTTGTGATGTCACAAAAAGCAGCGCATTTTACATATATCCGCTTATACAGCCGACAGCAGTTTAGCCCCACCCATTTACACTGAAGTTATAAGGTGTGTTTCAGCCCAGGCTGCTTTCTGGATGAGGCAAAATACAGGGCAACCAATCAGAATAGAATCAGAGGTCATTTACATGAATATCAGCGTTAAACACACAGATCCAAAAACAGTGCAGGGCAGTACAGTGTGACAATTTTGTTGCACATGCTAAAAGAAATTAACCCTGTGCATATACACACATACATACATACATACACACATACATACATACATACACACACACATACATACATACATACACACACACATACATACATACATACATACATACACACACATACATACATACACACATACATACATACACACACATACATACATACATACATACATACATACACACACACATACATACATACATACATACATAAATAAATAAATAAATAAATAAATAAGTCAGCTGCATACATGAGATGTGTATACATCTTTTGAAATTTTTGTCAAGCCCTACTGCTCATAGTAATTGTAGTCAATTTGTGTTGTAGTGTTTATGGTAGTTGTAGTCCATCAGGTGCTTCCAACATTATAGAAGAAATGCAAACGTCTGTAAACATGCAAATGTCTGGGTTTTGCAAAGCACAAAATGTATAACACTGTTCAGTGTGGGGCTGTGTGGTTCTGTGTAAAGCCAGCTGTGATTTGGGATTTACTGGGATTTACCAGCTGTAAAAAAAACTGTCATTATGTGCTCACTGCCTTCGCTGCCTTTAGCCTGTATCTCTTTTTACAATTAACTCACCGAAAATGTATATGTTGTATAATACTGAGTCTTACCTTTAAACTACTTTGCTTCTCACTTTGAAATCTGTGACACGCAACCACACGCTTGCTGGTTCATGTGGGTTTTGTCTCTTGCACAAAAATGCCTATAGAGTGCTAAATCAACCTCTTGTGGGGAATCTGATTTATTGTGGAGAAAATAACTTGTATATTTCCCAAAATGAACATTAAAATTGAAATTTTACATGCTTTCGAGAAAAAATATTATATACTTTATTATGTAGTATAATATGCATTCAGTGCTACAATATTTTAATTCAAATATTATCCTAGCACCAGTGCTACCTGCTCAAATGATGACATACACCCCTGCAGTCTGTTAAAATCTTAGGGTTAAAAAGGTCAGAAAATGGTCATTTAAAAATGATTTATGACTATTTTGTAGGTACTTAAACCCAAAAGCTCAGGGGAAAAACTAAAATATGTAAGATATGGAGCCTTTAAAGAGAAAAAAGTTTATTTGCTCACTGGTGTTTTGGAGACCCGAACTTCCACCTCTGGAGCCAGAGAGAAGAGGGCCCGAATGAGGGAAGACTTTCCAACATTACTCCTCCCGATGAAACACACCTGTAGACAAACACACAAACACAAATAAAATCTCACAACAGAATTTGTGCAATTAGTTATGCTGCTTTATAATGAACTCACATGCTCTAGTATAAAACACAGCAGACACTTATATATATATAAATATATATATATATAGAAATTATGTCAAAAATTTATTTATCTGAACAGTAATCATTCATCTGCCCAGAAAAAAAATTATATTAGAATAAATACAAATAATACTAACAGAATAAATAGTTGTTTGAAACAGGATCTTTCTTGTCTGCCTTCTCACCTCTGGCTGAGTGAGTTCAGGCATGTGGTCAGCGCGGACGGCTGATGTGGAGTACAGTATGTGATGTTTAGGAGAAGGAATGAACAGTTTCTCTGCCCGCTCGAGATCTTCCATGTTGGGTTGGAAGAGCCGGAATCTTCTCTGGTCTACCTGCCGTGACAGGTGTGCCTCCAGATCACTGAAAGGATAGAGAAGGCTTCTGAGCTTCTTCTCTGATAGCCGGGCTGCCTGGCTCAGGGAGGCCAGCTGGTGGACGGGGCGCCTGGACGCTGGACCAGCAGCAGAGTGGAAACGCAGCAGAACCCGGGCGCTCATTCTGGACATTGGGCAGAGGAAGGCAGAGCGCTACACTCAGGTAATGTCAATGAAAAGAGGATTCAAGATGCATCACTGAGCACACAACCAGAAGTCCGTCAGACGCTGCCCTCCTGGTCTGAAGCGTCAGCCGCAGCTAATCAGTCCAGATGCTGTCAGAAACAGAAAGAAATTAAAGTTGTGATGGACTAAAATAGCACTGAGGAAAAAGTATCAACAAACACATCTGACAAGTACAATCATACGTAAAAAGTAAATGTTTCATATAATTTTATAATTTAATTTTTAGAAATGTCTTAATGTTTGTTTAGATAATAGAACCACGTATACCTCTGGTATAAGACTATTAAAGGGCCCATATAATGTAAAAAAAAAAAATCCTTTTTTTTGAGAAAAAACAAGATTTCAAAACATTTCAAAACATACCATTCACTCTATATACAGTCTATATATATATATATATATATATGTGTGTGTGTGTGTGTGATGTCACAAATAAGTTTATCAGCCTCTTCAGCCTACAGCAGTTTAGCCCTGTCCATTCAGGGTGGAAGTTAAGGAAAGTTTCAGCCCAGATTGTTTTTTCATTAAGGCAGGGCAGCCAATCAGAGTAGAGATCATTTACATATATCATTTAATTCTAAGAGATCAAATTAGGCTGACAAGTGTACAAATGAATTAGGACTTTTTGGTACATAAAACCCCACAAATGTCAAAAGTGGAGTCCAGAGGGAAAAAAATAAGATATAAAATCATAAGAATAATGGAAAACATGAGCCCTTTAATTAGTAAACGCAACTAGCTGTCACCCACTTCTCGCATTAGACTGTTAAAGGGACCACATAATGGGGAAAAAACATTTTATTCAATTTTTAGAAAAAAAAAACTAGTTTTATGTAGTATGTAAATGCTGTTCAAAAAAAAACCCAAAAAACAAATATCTTAATTTTGTGTGATTTTTAGTTTTCTGCATAAATTAAACATAGAAGCTGTTTTTACAATGTGTGAAAAATGTCTGATGACTGATCAAATAAAAAAAATTAAAATTGGAATAAAATCTTCTGTAAATTTACTGTTTCACGGGACAGTGATGATGCATGAACTGAGCTGGAAAAAAACAACCTATTTTAATTTATAGTTTTGTGATGTCACAAAAAACAAGACATTCATCAGCCTGTTCAGCCGACAGCAGCTTAGCCACACCCGTTCAGGCTGAAGTTAAGGACAGTTTCAGCCCAGACTTTTTTTCAATGATATAAGATATAACAAAAGTAGGACATTGTCCCTTTACTGTACATGTTGCACTTTCTGTACACCTTATCACACATCCTGCACATCTGGACACTATTTCAGTACCAATATGCACATATTTATTCAGTATTGTCATTATACGCTGTTACCTGCACCTCCTTGTACATTCATTATTGAACTGCCTTTTTATCTCAGGACAGATCTTATTGCAGATTATTGTATATTTCTATTTGTATATATATCTGTAGATATTATTATTATTATTACTGTCCTGTGTTGGGTGACTGATACTGGATGCTAACGTTCCTTCGGGATCAATTAAGTCTCTATGTATCTATCTGTCCATCTATCTATCCATCTGTCTATTTATCTGTATGTCCGTCTATCTATTCATCTGTCTGTCTGTCTGTCCATCTATCTATCTATACATTACATCTGTCTGTCTATTCATCTTTCTATCTATTCATCTGTCTGTCTATCTATCTATCCATCTGTCTGTCTGTCTATTCATCTATCTATCTATTCATCTGGCTGTCTGTCCATCTATCTATTCATCTGTCTGTCTGTCTATCTATCTATACATCTGTCCGTCTATCTATCTATTCATCTGTCTGTCTGTCTATCTATCTATTCATCTGTCTATCTATCTATTCATCTATCTATCTATCCATCTGTCTGTCTGTCTATCTATCTATACATCTGTCTGTCTGTCTGTCCATCTATCTATCTATACATTACATCTGTCTGTCTATTCATCTTTCTATCTATTCATCTGTCTGTCTATCTATCTATCCATCTGTCTGTCTGTCTATTCATCTATCTATCTATTCATCTGGCTGTCTGTCCATCTATCTATTCATCTGTCTGTCTGTCTATCTATCTATACATCTGTCCGTCTATCTATCTATTCATCTGTCTGTCTGTCTATCTATCTATTCATCTGTCTATCTATCTATTCATCTATCTATCTATCCATCTGTCTGTCTGTCTATCTATCTATACATCTGTCTGTCTATCCATCTATCTATCTATTCATCTGGCTGGCTGTCCATCTATCTATCCATCTGTCTGTCGGTCTATCTATGTATAAAGCAGTGACTGAGCGAATGTGAGCCGCTGTTAGCCGCCTGTGGTGCTGGACTACGGGCAGTGCAAAAAGCGCTGTAAGCTGGTTGGAGAAACACAAACCCGGCTTACCTAAGAGAGTAATAACGGTTATAAATCCACAGAATATCAGACCGAGACTTCTTCATTCGGTTAGCATGTCTACCGCCTCAGAAACAGCGCCAAAACAGCGCTAAAACAGCGCTAACTTTAGCGGCAGTTCGAGTAAAACAGCGGAGGTTCACCAGGCTGAGCTGAGAAGAGCGCAGGACAAACTTTATGTCTGTTTTTAGCTTATTTTCCCTCCAGACAGCAAATCTACACGCTTCCTTTATGAGCTCTGACCGCAGAGGGGCGACACCTCTCACTGTCGGAGCGGAGAGAGGAACGACTTCACACACAAACAGCCGACGCGCCATGCTGAGGCCTGGTGTTTCACTTACATAACACCTGAAGGGAACATGGGCGCAGCGCTGAGGTTCCAGTGTTTCAGCGTTTATCTCGGTTTACTGTTTACTCAAATTAAGCTTTATTAACTGTGAATACAACAGAAGTGCTTTTTAAAATGGATATATATGTATGTATATATATATATACCGATAAGGCATAACATGACCACCATTTTATCAGCTCCACTTACTATATAGGTGCACTTTGTAGTTCTACAGTTACAGACTGTAGTCCATCTGTTTCTCTGATACTTTGTTAGCCCCCTTTTACCCTGTTCTTCAGTGGTCAGGACCCCCATGGACCCTCACAGAGCAAGTTCTATTTGGGTGGTGGATCATTCTCAGCACTGCAGTAACACTGACGTGGTGGTGGTGTGTCAGTGTGTGTTGTGCTGGTCTGAGTGGATCAGACACAGCAGTGCTGCTGGAGTTTTTAAACACTGTGTCCACTCACTGTCCACTCTATTAGACACTCCTACGTTGTCAGTCCACCTTGTAGATGTAAAGTCAGAGACGATAGCTCATCTGCTGCTGCACAGTTTGTGTTGGTCATCCTCTAGTCCTTCATCAGTGGTCACAGGACACTGTTGGCTGGATATTTTTGGTTGGTGGACTATTCTCAGTCCAGCAGTGACACTGAGGTGTTTAAAAACTCTCTGAAGCTGAACTGAAGGCATTACATGGTTGATTAATTATCAAAGTAATTGAAAAAAGTGTACCAACCAATCATGTTTTCATGTGCAATGGGACCAATTTCATGAGAAAATAACATCACTCTAGGCCTTCTGGAAGTTCTCGATATGTCAGTGTCTGCTAATATGACTGGTAGCTAACCAGTGTGTTCCTGTTAGTTGTTAGGAATGGAAAACAGTGGCAGCAGCTTGATGCCAGGACTCTTTACTGAAATCCATTTTGCTTCAAATAAAACCTGAATTACGTTTTACAAGCCTCAAATGTCTGCATTTAATCTAGAAAGGCCAAAAAATGTTCACGGGATTCACTGGTAGCTTAGCGCTAACATACTATTACCATGCTGCAACAACTATTATGGGGTGCTAGCAGAAACTAGCATTATCGTAGAAGTGTTTTTCTGGAGTTTTTGACCAAGTTTTGACACTTATGGCCCGAGCTGAAGGCCTAGCTCTAACAGTTAATCACTGCAGTGATTACCTTCCAAATATAATTTTTGATGTGCTTTTATGGTTTTTCACCGATAAATCTCAAAGAATGCTGTATTATTAGTACCAGGATAATCGCCTCGGTAGTGCCGCCCCTACTTTACATCACAAGTGAAGACACTGCTGTGAAATGCAACTCAATCTTGCTTTTATTCCGCATTTGAGGAACAATGAGGAGCCACAATAAAAAGCAGAGACTTGCAGTAACCACTGAAAAATTTTAGAACAAAAAAAAAAAACATTTAATATGAATTACGTCGCTGCAAGGAACAATCTTGCAATGAATAATAGCTTGCATCACTTTCTGACACAAGACTGACAAAATATCTTTCATATGAATCAGTCTAATAACACTACACAAAGACACAGACACAACTGCATGAAAAATGCTTCTGTCTGCCATAATATGTGTATAAATGAGTGTCTGTGGAGCCTGCAAACCATATCTGTACGCTCAAAATATATATTCCTCATACAAAAAGAACAAAAAAGGTCCTGAAATGAAATAATAATAAGTTAATGATGGAAAATTTGTAAGGACGTTTTCTTTCCCCATAAAAAGTGAGGAAAATGTCCTCTGGAAACAAAAATACATTCCTTTTCCTCATTTTAGCAGGACTTGATATTATAAAAAAAATATAGTGAATTCCTGATTTTTCTTGATTAGTCCACCATCCCAGGTGTGGTTCTGTGTCTAACTCTGAAACATAATAGTTCTGTTTACAAAATGTTATACTTTTCTTTTTATACATAAAATCAATCATTTTATGATGCCTTTGTCAAATAATAATAATAAAAAAAAGTAAAAAGATCAGTCCATCCAAAAATTGTTTGCAGCAGAGCTCAGAAAGACCAATCATCTGCGTGTGTACATGAATAATCACGTGAAAAAGAAAAAAGGCTGATGCTCCATAACGTGGACATTGAGCTGAAGGACTGGGTTGCCAGGTTTGCACACTTCTGAAATCCCCCATTACATGTGTGGGCTTTAAAACGTGAAGTCATCGGTCTGCAGGTCTCCTGAAGAACTGAAGTTGAAGGTTCCTCCCTGCGTCGCCTCAGGAACCAGACTGGAGTCCTCGTCAATCTGACACAAAAGTGCAGGAGGACAAGTTACGTTATTAATTTTGCTAATATGGCGCTGTGCAAAAGTCAGAGACCCCTTCATCTATTTAATTTCCACTGGCAATTAAGTACATTTCTCATTCATTTCTCAGCACCAGGAAAAAAAAAGAAAACATCACAAAATTACACATTGTTATTATTACACTCAATATAACAATTTTTCAGTATTTAGTGCGTCCACTCTTTGCCTCATTCGCCTTTCACTCTTCTCAGGAGACTCACTTTCAGTTTCTCAAAGAATCTGCAGACACACCTCCAAAGTTCAGTCTTAGAAGCTGGTTGATCATTTTATGAAGTAATCAAACACATTCAGTGGTGTTGAGGGTCTGGAGTCTGGGGTGGTCAGTCCATTGTTCAGCTTCTTTGTTTGATGTGTCCGTCTCCTTTTCTCAGTGAGGTTCTTCTTGACAGCTACACATCCTTTCAGACCCACGGCGCTGAGTCGTCTTCTCACAGTGGAAGGATGGACAGAAACACCTGTGGATGTTTTCAGATCTGAAGCAGCTTGATTTTCTCCTCTCTCTCAGAGATGAAAGCTTTAAGTGCTGTTTATCTGATGGGGGCAGTTTTGGTCTCTACCAGGTCTTCCAGGTGGCTGTTAGGAGTCCCACTTTCTTTGGAGCTTCTAACCATTTTGAGAACTCCAGATTTCCTTTGACTTTCTCCTTCCTTGTGCAAGTGGATTATCTTATATCTAATCGCCTTAGAAACATCTAGTGAAAAACTGTGAAAAACTTGTACTTAATGACCATTTGAGTTGAAATTAAATAAATGAAGGGTGGTCTCTGACTTTTGTACAGTGCTGTATGTATATACAATAATATTTTGGGGATTTTAAGTTATTACATCCTATAAATTCCTTACTGTAATTATGTATTTACAGTAGTTTTGGTCAAAAGAGATCTGCCTTATGATTGGATCACAATTTGATCAACAAAGTATGAGGCAATTTGGTTGTTATATTTATTAGAACTTGATGTTCTACTGCTTTGTCAGATTTTAAGATTAAGATTTTAAAATCTTCAACAGCTCTGTTCATCATTCTAGATCATCAAACATTTCTTTATATTTATAGCTTCCCACTGATTATTTAAAAATACTGACTTGCTAAAACAGTCAAAATACTACCGTTACAGATATTGCAAGGGGCTGTTTTCATTTTCTTCTGTAAAATAGACACAGTTCACATTTAAACTGCTTTTAAGAAGTGTAATGATATGCTAATTTCACGATACGATGCATGCTGTTATTTTTTGCATCACAATATGATCCATTTTCAATACAGGATTAAAAAAGGATGCTAACATAACTTAAGCACTTTATTTGTTTATTTTATAAAACTTATTTTTATTTATTTATTGCTCATTCTTATTTTTTTGTAATTTCCACTATTGTCTCTAAAGGACAACAGTGCTTGTTGAAGTCATAACTGGCAGAAAACTCACACATCACCTGACTTTATCTGAAAGCCATTTGGTTTAACACTGTTGAAAAGATTTATTCCAAACTTTTCCAGCATCTTTACTCACGTCATCTCCTGAGAAGTACAAGTCTATGATCTCGAAGGCCAGTTTGTAGATGTACTCGTTTTCATGCTGCTGCAGGTTCTCAATCTTCTCCAAACCTGGACACACAATAGAACACGTCAACTCAAAGACTAAACCACCTGACAGTCACTACTAATAATGCACGGTAGGTTTACTGACATCCTACTGTACGTTAAACTTAGTCAGCTTCCCCCTTTATGTATTTACATGGATTCTGTGATTAAAAAACATGTCAAAAGAGTCAGAGACAGCTGTAAACAATGCACTCGGGGTGTAAATCTGTGCTCACAACGACTTTCTTGCATTATGATTTTTCAGGAATTTCATGTATTATAATCTTAAGTATCATCACTATTCAATTATATATATAGTAGAGTATTTTGGTACAAATCAGACGTGTTTTTACACTGAATATGACAAAGTGAGTATTTAGTAAAGCTGGGTGATATGGAAAAAAAAATTTTGCAATACTTCAAGAAATTTTCACAATACACGATATGTATTTATTTCTTCAGACATCTGATCAGTTGGAACAGAGAAAAAGGAATCAGTAGTGCTACATTTTAAAAATTACTATCAAAAATTGTGAATACAATGATTTTTATTTAATATTTGGCATTATGTGTTGCACGTGGTCAGTGTTCTACAAGTACCGACGATATACAGGATATGTTCAGAAATGCATACTGTATTGTATCATTGTATAATTTAAGACGATAACAATATATTTTGTCATATTGCCCAGCCCTATTATTTACAGTGTAGTGAGGTACAGACAAAAAAATGATACAAGATTTCTCCCTGATTCCTTTCAAGATTTCTTTTGCCCAAAAATGGGCTACAATGTACAGAATATTACTGAATAACTGATACAGATCGATACTGGCATGTGTACTCTCTCATTTTGCCCGACTCACCTCCGCACTCCTCGATGATGACGGTCACGGTGCTGGCCTGCTCTCCGGACATCAGCAGGATGTTCTTCAGGCCGTCCAGCACCACCTGCACCACCTGCGTGTCCCGCACCTCCAGCAGACCGCACAAAGGAGCCACCACACCCTGCTGAACCAGGTACTCCACCTGCACACGTGAACACATGAGTACGCTGCACGTAAAACAACAG